CACTCGATTCGAGCGTTTAAACGCTCGATCGAGCGTCGGTGGACGCGATCGAGTGTTGAAACGCTCGATCGAGCGTTTTAACGCTCGGTCGAGCGATAGGGTGGTTTGGTCGAGCGTTTTAACGCTCGATGAGCGATAGGGTGGTTTGGGGGGGGGGGTTGTAGGGGGGAGAGGGGATGAAAAGGGGAGAGGGGGGAGAAAGGAGAGGAGAGGGGAGAGAGGGGAGAGAGAGGGGAGAGGGGAGGGGATAAAGGAAAAAGAAAGGGGAAAGGGGAAAGGGGAGGGGAGGGGAGGGGAAAGGGGAGAGGGGAGAGGGGAGGGGGAAGCGAGGGGAGAAAGGAAGACCCCCCAACTAAAGAGGGAGGGGAGCGCGAACAAAGAGGGAGGGGAAAGAGAAGAGAAGCTGAGGGGATTCCGCCGTGAACAAGCAGGGGTAAAAAAGACTTACCTGTGAGTTCCACGAAAGACCACGAACCAAGAAGAACAAAGAAGATGAGAGGATCCAACGGCGTTCCAACGGCGAGCTCAATTGAGCCTACGTCCACGATGAGTCCAACGAAAAAAACGGAGTACGGAGCGCCTAGAGAGATTGAGGCGTTCCTGAAACGTGATGTGAGATGTGAGATGAGATTCGATCCTGAAACGAGAAGATTGAGGAAGCTTGAGTCTTGATCCTGAAACGAGAAGATTGACGAATCTTGAGGATTGATCCTGAATCGAGTTGGTTGACGAAATTGGAGGTTCGATTTGGTTGAGTCTATGTGTAGTCCGAGGGTAATGAGATGAAGCCAGCCCGAGCACAACGCATATGCGTTGTTCAGATGAATTTGGATCAGAAGACACTGGCACTCACCTTTGACTCCACAAAGCAATATGAGCAAGCGTGATGATTACACAACAAGGGTGAAATAGACCATGTAATCAACTGTCTTGATCAAACATAAAAAAATAAAAAATAACAAAAACACTCACTGAGGCTGGGCCAGGTGCTATGTCCAAAGGACGATTGTTTGTGCGGTTAATGGGCTGGTGGGTTGGATGAATTTCGGTCGTTTGGGATTGAAATCAAGTGTAATTTTGGGGAGTGAGTGAAGTCGTTGGGTTAATGGGCAGGTGGGTCGGATGAATTTTGGGGAGTGAGTGAAGTCGTTGGGTTAATGGGCAGGTGGGTCGGATAAATTTTGGTCGTTTGGGATTGAAATCAAGTGTAAATTTGGGGAGTGAAGTCCTTTGGGATTGAAATCGAGTGTAATTTTGGGGAGTGAAATCTGGGTGGTTGAATTTGAAATGGGGAGTAGAAAAAAGCTGGGTGAAATGGGGGGCAAAAAAACATCTTTTGGGGCTTCAACATGTGGTTTGTTAACGACTTGCCCATCAAAAGCAAATAAAAAGACTTACCTATGCAAAGTGGGCCAGTGTGATTCCACGCATCTTAGCCCTAAGATCATAATTTGGAACATCGTCATCATCACAGTCACTTTCACTGTCTTCAGGAGCCTCATCTTCATAAAGATCGTTCCATTGATCTTTGAGATCGGCCAGCAGATTGTGTAGAACGATGCAAGTAACTATCCATTTTACAGCCCCCTTCATCTCTTCAGCATTACGGATTTGAGTTCGAATTTCTCGTAAGCTTGCAAAACGACCTTTGAGAATGCCAATGGCATGTTCAATTCTGACTCGAGATTGTGCTAGGTGGTAGTTGAAATCGATGTTACGACGTTTGAGCAATTGTTTGCCTTTGAATGCAGGGACAACATAACAATCATTGGTGTAGGCTGAGTCTGCCAGTAGGAATTGCTTTCGGTCGAAGTACTTTTCAGGTTGCTGGGCCACTTGCATGTGCGAAAACACATAAGCATCGTGTGATGAGCCAGGAAATCCAGCCAAATAAGAAATGAACTTTTTGTTGATATCACATATGACCGTTACTGAAATGGAGTATCTGATCCAAGCAGCCAAGAGAAAATAACAATCAATCAACAAGGGAGATTTTTTATATAATTCAGCAGTATCAAAAAGCTAACCTCTTCTTACGATCAAAGTAATGTTGCCCATCCTTTGGGGGCTTCTGACTCAAAGGGATGGTCGTTCCATCTACAAATCCCACACAGCCAGGGAATCCTTCCTCTCGCATGACCTGAGATGATTCTATTCGTTCAGATTCGGTAGGCCAAGTGACTAAAGAAGATCGTAATCCATAAACAGCATGAATGACTCGTCTAGTATACAGGTCGATCGTTCCAAACCCAACTTGAAACAGATTTTTGAGCCTGTAGATAGCTGAAGCGTTTCCATTTGATCCAAGACGACATACTGCTACAGCAATTTGGATTGGTGGATCCCTTTGGGGATTACGAGAGTTGTTGTAGAAGATGGGGTTTTGTTCGATGAGCTGTACCAGGTTGAGGAAGCAAGGAAAAGTCATACGAAACATCTGCACAAAGCTTAATTCTGGAAGTTCTTGAAGCTCAGACAAGTCATAACGAGGATCAAATCGTGTCGTGGAGTTTCGAGCTACTAGGTATCGTTTTTGAAGCTGACTCATAGAGAAAAAGTAAAATTCTTCAAGTTCTGAGTCGTGATCTGAATCTGAATCGTCCATCATGGCCATTGCAGCAACATTGGATGCTTCGATTATTTTCTTTCTTCGAGATACTTTGGGCATGATTGCTTTTGAGGACTTGAGTGGAGGCGATCTTGGTGTTGAAGATGATGAGTTGGTGGTGGGATGATTGGTGCTGATGAGGTGAAGTTTGGTGGTCAGATGATCAGTTTGGTGGTGGGATGATCGGTGCTGATGAGGTGAAGTTTGGCGGTGCAAGTGAAAATTGGCGGTGATATGAGTTGAAACAAATGGGATATTTTAATTGACTGGTTTGGGTGAAAAGATGTGTGTTTTTTTGTTCAAAACCCGTTGGGGTTGATGGAGGTGGATTTTGGAAACCCGTCAATTAATAATCGTGGATTTCAAAAAAATAATTGACGGGTTTGCAAAGGTGGATTTGCTATATTTGATACCCCCTATTATGAGTTTCCACGCGTCGGCTGGACGACCAAAAGATCCGCAACCTGCAACACCCCCAAAGGTGATTCGTGTATCTATCAACAGGTTGCCGTCGAAATCTTGCACCAGAAGGTACTTCCATTGGTCTTGTTTCGTTGGTATTTGTCGGTACGCCCCTTCCCAGTCAAAAAGTGCCAGTTCGAATGACCTTTTGTCTTCTGCGAAGAATTTTGACACCGTCTTGAAATCATCCCACGTTGTTTCGAAATCAAGTTTATTAACGTAAGAGTTCACTGATTTTACTTCTATATCATTTCTGGGATAGGATAGGTCATTAATAGGTCTGATCTTCCCATCACCGTTAACTACGGCGCCCAAAGGATTTGACCTAAAGAAACCGAATGTGGCTTCCATTTGCTGATGGGAAAATGGCCCTATCATTCTTCCAGCCGCTAACTCTTTCGCAATCGACTCCTGAATCTTATCTTTTGCGAGGAGGGAAGATTTATGGTTCTCAGGCGTGAACCACCGTTTTCCTTCAATTCTGTGTTGCGGTATACCTTGGTCGAAACCATGTGTGAAACCGTCTATGACGTCCTGATATTCTGGCAAGAGGTGGTTCAAGTGCAGAGCCTCACGCCATTTCTGCACATTCATCTCGCACACTATCTCACTTGATAAATATATCTTCTTGATTTCTAATTGATGACACCTTCAAATGTAGAAGTATAAAGAGTGATGAGAACAACACAAAAGTGTGAGAAAAAACAATCTAGTCAGGAACAACAATGTTGAAGTCCGGAATTTGCCTTAATCCATGCAGTTATAATCTTATTTCAGGGGCTTGGGAGTGATGATCTTGTGATATGGGTCGTTACTACGCGAAGAAAAAGGATTATGCCTACATATCTTTCCCTTCCTTGGATTCTTTCTTCCCCGATTGAACACGAGAACTTGACCCTCCTCCCCGTTGCTCTCTACCTCTGAAATTGTTGGGTTGACGTTCATCAGTTTGGTTATTGTTGTTGGGGTTATATCGGTTGTTTCCGTAGCTGCTCCTTTGCCCCCATGATCTGTTATCATCTTCTCGGAAATGCCTCGCTTCTCGTCTGTCGTTGAAGTATTGATTGCTTTGATCGTTGGGGCCGAGGTTTCTTCCTCTGTAGCCACCTCAGTTTCTTGAAGTATTGCCCCTGAATCCGGTTTTTTCAGACGGGCCAACTGGTACGTGGTTGATAATGTCTGAGGCTGACTTATGACCTTTTGCCAGTTTCGGTCTTCCGGTTTTTGGGTCGAAACCAAATTTGACGCCCCCATAGGCATAAGGGTTATCCGAGAAGTCAAGTTCGTCTAGCTTCCTTGTGATTTCCCAGGCCTTTTCTCGTACTTCTTTCCTCATTACTGATATGTCTACGACCGACGCTCCCTTTTCTGTCTCGACCCGATAAGCGAAAGCGTTCGCCCTGACAATCATGTCGTATCTGAAGCCTGTTAGGAAACCATCTGCCACAATGATTTCGTCCACATTTGCTTTGTGTTCGACGATCCAATCTGCAAACTCTGGGATTTTGTAGATGTCTCTGTAGGTGATGAGGAAACTTCTGAAGTTGTTGGTCCATGCGCTGAACGATTGCGTCCATTCGTTCGGATATTCATAGCCTGTATAGATACCATCCTTCTTGTCGGTTTTCAACCTCTTGCCAGAGTGGAAAGAGACTGCTTCTTCTTGCCATTCTTTGTCGAAGATGGTGAGAGGTAAAGGGCCTCTAAATTCGCGGATGTTCTTATCGAAGAACGGAGTGAAACCTATGTCGCAATGGTTAGGGACCGATCCTCTGAAAAAATTAATATTTTTATCTGGGTGCTTTTGCGTCGGTAATGCAGCTGTGGCAGAGTTTGAGCGATGTATCCCTGTCGGTGCGATGAGTACGTCCAAAGGTGTGTTTGATGGTCCATCTTTGGGTAGCGCTAGGTAGATCCTGAGTAGAAACTCCGCGTTCGGCTCATCGTTTGCGGACTTTGCATCGCAGATCTGATTCCACAGGATCTCCTTGTCTGATAATGACGCCGCCTTGGGCTTCTCTTGGTTAGGTAGTGCTTGATTTACTACCAGCAACGGTCCTGGGTCATCCGTTGTCAAGAGGAGATTGCGGTAGGCAGATAAGGTGTCAGGCATTTGTCTGCTGTTCTTAGTGAGTTGTCCTTCGATGTCATCGTCTTCGCGATCGATATCCTTTGATGCATCTTTCCTCTGGTCTTCTCTCCCTTCGACTTGGGAGAGGTCTATGACAGCTGGTGTATCATCTATTGAGAATGGGAGAGTGTTTGTCAGTTAACCGCGACTTGGTTACTGTTGGTGTTTATTTTTCAAAGAGTCACTAACTACTTAAGTGCTCGCTTTCAGTCGATGGTCCGGTTCCGCTTGGATCTTCAATTGTGTCTGTTAAGGTTGATTGAGTCGTTGCTGGTTGAGCGTCCCCCTCTCTCGTAAACTGCTTCTTCGTCTTTCTTGTTGCTCGCGTCGCCGTGTCTTCCGTCATATTCAGCTGTTGCTTGGATTGTGGAGATAGTGATTTGTGTCAATTTGTTGGAAGGGATAATGATAACTGAAAAAAGAACTGAAAAAAGAAGGGCGCGCGTGGTGACGGGGTAGCTGGAGAGGTGTGAGGGAAAGAGCATCCACTGATGCGGGGCTGAGAGGGTCAGAGGAGGGAAGAAGATGAACTCGTCTTCCTGGGGCGATTGGGGCCTGAGCGCTGCTAGGTCTGCTCTGACCCCTCAGCCTGGGACAAAGCTCCAGGCGCTCGTGTTCTTGGACCTTGGACACATCCGCTAAGTGCTCCTGTCTCCCCCAAGGAAAAGATCCGATCACTCCTCTGTACTCTGTAGCCCAGAAAGGGGTCTTAAGTTACATTCTGTAGCCCGAGCCTCGCCGCAGTGATTATTTTGCATCACCGGACATCATCTCCGATGCACTTAGAGCATCTCCACCGCGGGTTGCCAAACCGGGTTGCTAAACCAATTATAGCAACCCGAGCCCAATTTAGCAACGCCACCGCGGTTGCTAAACACCCCAAAAAAATGGCAACTCACCTCTCGGGAGCTATCGAGTTGCCAAAAATAGCCACACAATAGCAACCCAACCTGCCGAGTATCACAAGTCTTTTTTGTGATTCTCCATCTCGCATCTCCCCTATCCCCCGACACCTAATCCCCAATCATACACCCCCATGACCGGTACCGCCGGTACCGGTTACTAGAGAATGCATGCTCTCAACTAGACCGGCACCGGTCATGAACAAGTGTTCCTCAAAGACCGATACTGGTTAGTACTGGTCTCAGTTCCAGTCAGACTGATACCGGTAATTGGAGGATGTACTCTCAAAGACCGGTATTACATAGTCATCTTGGAGAGTGTACATTCTCTAGCGACCAGTACCGGTCTTCAAGAGTGTACAGTCTATAGCGACTGGTATTGGTCACTGAGAGCGTCTCAATGACCAATATCAGCCCCTAGAGAGTGTACAGATTTGATGACGGGTATCGGTCACTGGACAGTGTGCACTTCCATGACCAAGGTGGCTGCTAGGCAAGAGCCGATACCGGCTTGTCTTTGGGGGGAACCTTTCACTCTCCCGAGTTGCCATCTCCAGCAACTCGCGGTGCAAATCCAACCCGGCACGAGTTGCTAAACGTGCGCCGCAGTTGCCGAAC